GAAAACTGATTTCTCATATTTCTGCTCAAATCGTGCAATATAATGTTTGATGAGCTCATGAATTGCTGCACGTCGTGTTTCCGACGATGTTGAGGAACACAAAAAATACACCAGATCCTCCGTTACCGTACCCAGGCGAAGATTCTTGAAAAAAAAATATTTCTGACACTTTTTTTTTAAGCCTTCCTTACCTTTTTTTCACTGCGCACAAAAATTTACCTGCCAGTTGATGATGTACGCTAGCTCACTAACAGAATGTTCTGGATTTTCTGGTTTCTTCCAGCGTATATTTTCTGGTAGCAAATAGCCGTGAACGAGTACTTCTGAAGTAAGTACCAAAAACAATTTTCTAATGTTTCGCTTTCATAAAGTAATTGATGACTGCGAAAACACTTTCACATTTGGCTCAGAATTCAATATTGTCTCAGTGTACTGTCATTTTTTAAAAGCACTGAAGAAGTACCAGATTTGCTGCTGAAAATTAGAAACTTAGTCGTCAGGAATAACTGAAATTTAAATGGTTTAAAGCTGACGTTTGATGCACGTTGTTTGTTTTTTGCATTCACAACAACACTGACAAAAAGAAAGCAACGAGAAAATTAGTGAAATGTATGCAAAATAAAAAATTTTCTTCTCTCTTGAATTACTTGCTGTGCTTTTACACTAATCCCTAAACAGTACGTTAAGGAACAAAAAGCTGTAAGTTTTTAGAAATTATGAATTTTTTGTACTCAGTTTAACTCAGGCTGCAACGCGTCAGACTAGCCGGTGCGAGCATGTTTTTTTGCTCAGCTTTTTAAGCAAGTTTTATCGAGAAGCGAGCACGTTTTGCAGCGAAGGACCGTTCTCACCCCCTCTCTCAACATCCAGTTCCAGCTGTTCACTGAAAACTGGAAATGTTGCTAGAACGGTCGTTCGTCAAAAAATCCAAATATGTGAGTGAACTGGATGTTGGGAGAGGATAAGGGCGGTCGTTCGCTGCAAAATATACTCGTTTCTGAGTTTGCGGTAAAGTTTAGTATTTCTAAACCTACCTGTGAGTAATTTCACTTTCAAGCAGAATTAAAGCCACAATTGAC